TTTTTTTGAGACAGAGTCTCTGTCTGTTGGCCAGGCTGGAGTGCAGAGGCACAATCTTGGCTCACTGCAACTTCTGCCTGCTGGGTTCAAGAGATTCTCCTGCCTCTGCCTCCCTAGTAGCTGGGATCACAGGTGTGCACCATCATGCCGGGCTATTTTGTATTTTTAGTAGACACGAGTTTTCACCATGTTGACCAGGATGGTCTTGAACACCTGACCTCAAGAGATCCACCCACCTCTGCCTCCCAAAGTGCTGGGATTTATAGGCATGAGCCACCACACCTGGCCCACATCACTCTTTTACACCAAGAAAACACAAGCATTCCCAGAAGCCTCCTGGAAATCTCCACTTACCTCTAATTGACCAATATGTGTCACATGGACATGCCAGTAGCAAGGGTATCTGGGAAAGTGAGTATTTAGCTATCTCAGACTTGATAGTGAAAACGGCAAGCGAATTTGAAATGAGTGTTGGATCAGTCATTCAATAGCATCAACTACAACTTTCAAATACAGTCATCGCATGGATACACCAGGGGTCTGGCTCTCGATATATGTGGGTTTTACATCTCAGGAATACTGTATTTTTTATTGGTGCTTGACTGAAAAAAATACATATAAGTGATCCAGGGCAGTTCAAACCTGTGTTGTTCAAGGGTCCATTGTATAAACTGGCAGAGACTTGACAACAGAATCTGGCCGGGTGCAGTGGCTCACGCCTGTAATCCTAGCACTTTGGAAGACTGAGGTGGGTGGATCACTTGAGGCCAGGAGTTCAAGACCAGCCTAGCCAACATAGTGAAAACCTGTCTGTACTAAAAATACAAAAATTAGCTGGGCATGGCGGTACACCCCATAATCCCAGCTACTCGGGAGGCTGAGGCAGGAGAATTGCTTGAACCCGGGAGGCGGAGGCTAGACGGAGCCAAGATGGTGCACTGTACCCCAGTTTGGGTGACAGAGCAAGACTCTGTCTCGAAAAAATTTAAAAAATTTAAAAAGATGGTGAAATCTGATACTGCCATAAGCTTTGCTAAGCCACGTTTGCCAAACTTGCCAGATTAAAAGAATCACTTAGAATACATATTAAATAAAAACATAAATTTCTCAGATTTTTCTCAGGCGAGTCTGATTCTCAGGGGAGTCTAAGAGGTAGACACAGGAGTTTGTTCCCTAAAAACACACCACTGGATTTTTCTTATCAACCAAATCTGAGAATTGGTCTAAAGGATGTCTCTGATTAGCCCTGCCCTGGTAATAAATTTTCAGCTCCTTAAGATGCTGTTAATACTATTATCATTATTTTTTAAAGACAGGGTTTCACCATGTTGGTCAGGCTGGTCTTGAACTCCCGACCTCAGGTGATCCGCCCACCTTGGCCTCCAAAGGGCTTGGATTACAGGCGTGAGCCACCACACCCAGCCTGTTATAATTATTTTTATATTTGACACAGAATCCCCCTCTGTCACGCAGGCTGGAGTGCAGTGGCACAATTTTGGCTCATTGCAACCTTTGCATCCCGGGTTCAAGCGATTCTCATGCCTCAGCCTCCTGAGTAGCTGGGATTACAGGCACATGCCACCACGCCTGCCTAATTTTTGTATTTTTAGTGGAGACAGGGTTTCGCTGTGTTGGCCAGGCTGGTCTCGAACTACTGACCTCAGTGATTCGTAGGACGCTATTATGAACAGAGCTGTATTAACACATTCTTTTCCTTCAGATGTTGCTCCACCAATTCCCTGTCTACATCCTCATGTTCTTTCTCTTAAGCATTCCTCTCACAATGTTGCTATCAAAATATCCTACTCCAGATAAATCCCTCTGTCTACTTTTCTCCTGACTCTACAATTTCCTTAAAAAGACCTGTTCATCTCTTATAAATCTGTCCCAACTCAGCTTTGACCCCCAGTCTCTCCCTTTACTTTCCTAACCATCAAATTTCTTTTCTTTTTTAAAAAAAGATGGGGTTTCACCATATGGCCAGGCTGGTCTTGAACTCCTGACCCCAGGTGATCCACCCACCTCGGCCTCCCAAAGTGCTGGGATTACAGGTGTGAGCCACCACGCCCAGCCACCATAAAGTTCTAATACTGGTCATTGTATTTTTTGTTTCCAAGTTTTACTTTATGACTTCAGATACATCAATTCAATTCTTATAAAATGTTATCATCCTGTTACAGCAATCATATGATCTCACTGAACATTTACAGGAAAAACTCTCAAGCTCCTATGTTACACGTGACCACATCGATTCTATACCATCCTGTTTGGAAGAGGGAAGTGTTGTATCGTGAATAGTACACAAGGACGTGCCACAGACAGTACGAGGCTTGAACAGGATGGGTTGTCGTGCTGAAGGGGCTTAGGCAAGGCACAGAGTACAAAGAAAATGTTTTCTGAATGTTGAGAAGACGATTGAGTTTGACCGGGCGCTGTGGCTCACGCCTGTAATCCTAGCACTTTGGGAGGCCGAGGTGGGTGGATCACCTGAGGTCAGGAGTTCAAGACCAGACTGGCCATCATGGTGAAACCCC